GAAGAAAAGATGATTTATCCAAAAGAGAATAAGAAAAAGTTAAAGGGAAATAGAACTTCCTTGGTTCGTTTATTTAACAAATATTTATTGGATATTTATTATTTCTTTAGTCCACAAATGTTTCAGAAAGGTCAAAGGTGAATGGAGGATTAAATAAGTTAAAGTAGAAGAGATGACATGGAGAATATTTTGCAAAGGGAATCACATGTGCAATGGTATAGATTAAGAAAGGCATGCTGCCTGGCTGGTATGGCTCAGTTGGCTGAGGGTCGTCCAGTGCACAGAAAGGTCACTGGTTCAATTCCTAGTCAGGGCATTACATACTGAAGAGTAAAAGAAGTATATCGTGGCTGGAAAAAAGAGTGGAAAGAACATAACAAGGTAGCCAAGGGGCTGAGACAGGCTGGAGACATCCACTCAGTTATTAATTCAAGACACATTATGTACCCATCATTTGCGGGTTTAGTCCCCAGTCAGGGTGCATATGGGAGACAACCAGTTGATATTTCTTTTTCACATCAATGTTTCTCTCTCTCCATGTATATTGTGAGAGATTCATTATACGAAGAACTCCATGCTCTTTATACTCTTGTAGGCTACTAGAAAAACAAACTTGTAAAGATATTACAACAGGATAAGGAGCTAGGAAGTAGTCTACCAGAATAACTTTCAAATATCACTTCTACGCCCTGGCCCATGTGGCTCAGTTGATTGCAGCATCGTCCCATATACAAAAAGGTGGTGGGTTAGAGCCCTGGTCAGGGCACATACCCATTGAGGTTTGTGCAGGAGGCAACCAATCGATGTTTCTCTCTCACATCAATTTCTCTCTCTAAAAATTAAATAAATACATAAATTAATTAATTAAGTAAAATGTATGTCCAAGCAGTTTTCCCCAACTTCCAGGCAGTTGTTTTTTTCCTCAGTATTCTCAACAGGACTGTGTTCACACCACCATGAAAGCACATTTTTAGGTAGACTGGACAAAATGTGTTTTTTCTGACCAGAAGTGAACAGTAAAAAAGAGGTACAAAGCAAGATGCTAAAAACAGTTGAGCAGCAAGTAAAATAAGAATAAAGAAGATACTGAATCCAAGAAGAACAGGTGTTATCAGCAGTGATGGTGGGTGAAATTCAATTGAGATCACTGTAATTAAGGTGCTCATGGGACAGCAATGCCAATGGCATATGAACCAGTGGTTAGGAGAGACAGATTAGAGAGCCATCAGGGGACATGTGGAGAGATCTGAAGTCAGGCAACGAGAACAGGGAGTAAGTATGTCTAGATAGATAGCGCAGTATACACTAAGAGGAAAAGAGCTGGACCAAAGAAGTAAACTAGAGAGTAAGGACTAGGAGTGACATGTCAAGGAATAATAGGAAAACTTAGGTAGCAATGTTAGAGAACTACATTTTAATCATTGCACACAAGAAAACCAAATGAAGAAAATAATTCACAAGATGTGGGAAAAATCCCCCTCCATCACTTATTACATGTGAATAACCTTTTGACACCAGAGAGAAGAAAGGAAGAGTTGAGGGAAGAATGGAGAGGAAAAGGAGGAGGAAGAAGGGGAGGCAGAGGGAGAAGAAACAGTTTAACAACAGGAAGGAAAGGGCCATGAGTAGGGCTATGAAGTCACAGAAATAAATTTAAATCTTATAGGTCCACCAGCTACCAACCACAAGATTTTAAAGCTGTGGGTGCTCAAAGGGAAGAGAGAGAGAGGAGAATGAACAAGGGCAGAATCAAGAGCCAAGGCAGACTGAAAATTACAACCAAACTGAAATTCAGGAGCAAAATATGGTACTTGGCATGAGATGGTGTGAAGCTTGTTGACATTCTGTGCTATTTTAAAAAGGAAAATGACTCTCACCTAGACTCAAATGGAAGAGTAACTTTTCTACTTTAGTAAAAGTCTGACCATTTGAACCATTTAAATTTGTGACTTACATAGCTTCTTTAGGTAATTGGTTACATATGTTTATAAGCTGCCATGAAAAAGAGGCATTTCCTTTCATTGGTCCTAAAACAACTCTGGCTGCTTTTAAGGGATTCTCCACCAGTAAAAAGAGGGTCACAAAACAGACTATAAATTATACAGGGTGGCTAGGCATGTAAGTCCTTCCTGTTCTCCTTCCCGCTGCCTGGTGGGAGGCCTGGAGCTGCTGAGCCCAAGAGCCTCCAAGGAGCCAAGCAGTGGGGTCCCTCCAATTACAGAACGAGGAACAGATGACACTAGGCTCCTTCCAACACCTGTTTTCACCCTATTAGTGTTCAATTGATTTGGTTTGAAAGACCCTTTCAAATCAAATCGTCTATGAAAAATTTCAAAGATTTCTATCATTTTAATTACCAATGTCCAGCTTTTATTCAGCATCTTATGTCTTTAGATTTTCAAGCTTCATTTTTGGCAAGGTTATCTTTTTACTGGGGGGGTGGGGGGGAAGGGGTTCTTCAATTATAAACATGACACATTATTTCCTGAGCACAAGCTGACAGTGAAGAGAAGTGACCGGTACCAATCTAGGTGGAAGGAAAAGTCAGCAGAAGCTATGGGTTTTTCTTCACTTTACTTGGTAGTATAGGAGGTGTATTCTGATAAAGGTATACGTAAATTGAAATTTGAAACAATTATCCTATTAATAAAGGCTATGTGGTTGTGACGCCCTCACGCCATGATGAGCGATCACCAAGAGGCTGTGTGCGCAGCGGGTGCGCGCGCGGGGCGGGGGGGGGCTTGACCTCTTTGGGGCAATGGATCACAGGACTCCCGCACTGTGAGAGGGCACAGGCCAGACTGGAGGACCCTCCGCCTCCAGTGTTCAAATTTTGTGCACCAGGCCTCTAATACTATAATAAACAAGCATAATAACCTTTAAATTAATAAATTACATAGAAGATCCTTTTTCAGAGCAGTCATGTCTCTGATTTGCCTCTTAATAAGGCAAGCATTTACATACTGGTTTTGCTTAAACACTACCCATGATATTCAAGCTGAGGCTAAAGGCTGACTCCATTTACACAAAGGTTTTATCATCAGATTGCACTGGATGACATTGTGTCTCCATCCTGCATGGTGGCCTAATGAACACAGCAATTAAGGGCGACCCGTCCAGTCCCAAATGCAGAAAAACATCAGTGTAATTTTCTCTCCTTGCAGATATGGATGCCAGCACTCCCATATTACTACACAATAAAAAAGTTTCACATGATTTAGAAACACACTGAGTCACTGGCAGACCAAAAGTCTTTCAGGATACATAAAAGGGTGCCATTTAAAAACCTGACTTGAAATAGATGAGAGTCAGTTTATCAGAGTCACAATAACAAACAAATAAAAAAATAAAATTTAACTAGTTCTCAGTCCACTTCCTTTGTACACCACTTAGAAATATGTATGAATCTTATTATACAGCAATGGTAGGATGGCAATAACAGGAAAATATAAAGGCTGCATTTGATTTTACATTTGAGTTTTACCTAATTCATCAATAATTTTAAAAAGTCAAATAATAAGAGTAACACTGGTGAAAATGGCAGAGCAAGGAACTCCAAAAGCCTGTTCCTCCACAAAAGCAGCAAATAAACTTGCAAAAACTATTAAAATAAACTTTATCAGAACTCTGGAAACTAATCAAAAGTTTACAGCAACCAGGCAAGGACTTATTAGAAAACAACAACAGCTGAATTTTGGTAACAGAGCTTTCCAACATGCCTTTCTTAATCTACTTACTTACTCTGACACCAACAGGCATTTCGGTCAGGAAACAGTTTCTATTTAGAAGTAAATGGGATGCACACTGCCCATGTATTTCTTTTGGTGAAGTCTTTATAGTAAGAAGCCACATAAAAACAACTGGAGATCACCAATGAAAAGCAAAGGGACAAGGCAAAGTACTAATCTACTTTCTGTGAAATTCTCTTTGTTTTGGCCAGGAGAGAAATAAAACCTAAAAATAATTCCTAACATATAATTAAGTCATTTTAGTTAATGTTTATTTCACTAAACCTTTTTAACAATATACTTTCAAGAGATCTAAATAACCTTCCATTGATCTTCCTAAAAGCAAACTTTAGAGCTGAGCTATCCAGTACAGTACCCATCAGCCATGTGGCTACTTAAACTTAATTTAATAAAAATTAAGTAACATTTATGCTCTGGCCAGTGTGGCTTAGTTGGTTAAGCGTTGCACCATGTACCAAAAGGTCTCCGGTTTGATTCCCCCGTCGGGGCACATGCCCAGGTTTCTGATTCAATCCCCAGATGGGGTACAGGCGGGAGGCAGCAGATGAATGTTTCTCTCTCAAATCAACATTTTTCTCTCTCTTTTCCTCCCTCTCAAAAAAATCAATATATTTTTTAAAAAATCAAATAACATTTAAAATTTCTCAGTCACAATGGCCATATCTCAAGCACTCCATAGCCATCACAGTGAATTCTATTGTGCTGCTTTAGAGACATCAAATGGATATATGCCTGTCAAATATTTTGTGTCCTGAAGACAAGTGACTATAGGGCTTAATCAGATGCATTATTCAAAAAACTTATCAAGTGTCACCATGTGCCAGGCACTAGAAATACAGAAGATAAGAGTCATTACATTCAAAGTCACTGCATTCTAAGAAAAGAGACACAAGGAAAAATATACTATAATTTCCATGTGATGAGTACTGTGAGGAAAAACAAAGCAGGTTAAGAGCTATACACACAATGTGAAGTGGGATCAGGTAAGGCCTCCTTGTTAGAACTGATGTGTATAACAAAACAGTAGACTGGAGTCTGAGATTATACAAGGTGTGGGTGCAGCTCCTTTGCAGCCATTTAAGCATTAGGTATGCAGACGCTGGGCTTACACAACACATGGAGTCAACTTCCCCACAGCTCCAACAACTGTTTTCAACAATTATCTCATTCATTAAAGAGATGAAATGGACCTGGCTGCTCCAACTTAAAAGTCTAGACAAAAATGTTTAAATTAAATAAGAATAAAGGGAGGCAGAGTCCTACCACACACACAGCAGAATAGTGTGTCAGGAAAACAAATAAAAATGAAAACTACCTTCTGAATTCACACATGAACGTATGACAACAGGTTAAAAAGCAAACCAGCTCTAGCTGGTTTTGCTCAGTGATTCGAACGTCGGCTCTAGGACTAGAGAGTCCCAAGTTCAATTCTGGTCAGTAGCACATGCCTCAGTTGCAGGCTCAATCCCCACCCCAATGGGGATGTGTGCCGGAGTCAACCAATCGATGTGTCTCTCTCTGTCTCTCCCTCTCCCTTCCATTCTCTCTAAAAATCAATGGACAAAATATCCTAGGGTGAGGATTAAAACAACAACAACAAAATGCAAACCAGATCACTCTTAGTTAATGCATTACTTACACTCTTCAAGTTATGGTATTAGTTGTCCTTTCGTTATTTTTTAAAGGTCTGCATGAACTTTTTTATGGACATAATTTCTGAGGCAATATTTGCTTAAAAATTCATTAAGTAGATTATTAATATAGTTGACTTACTTTCTAAACTAAACTTTGACCAGAACGTTTTACTTAATAGAAGTATAAACAGATTAATCCTTAAAAGGAAAGTCCTTTTCTTTCAGAGTGATTTTCAGATTTGAATGAATTGTCCAAACACGGATCATTTCAACTTTGTATGTGTACTAACCTTCTAAATAAAGAACTCAAATAACATATAAAATTAATTTTTTATACGTATTCCTTATTTTCTAGAACTGAATTCACATTCTCTCTCTTACATTTACATCAACCTTGAAACAGAGCCAACAGTACATACTTTCAATTGCCAAGTAAATTTTCCGCTCTCCTTCCTTGGGTTCCTTGCCAGGTGGGAAGTATGTTCCTCTGATTGTAATTGCAGCTTCAGAATATTCACTGATTCTCTGCAGAGCTTCCTTAGAGGTAACTTTCCACCTAGCAGTCTATAAAAGAAAGGGTGGGGGGGAAATCACTTCATAACAGGATTTAAAAGCTGAGTGCACTGACAAAGAATAGGTTGTCTAAATCATACTATGGTCAATATTAAGACTGTAATTAACATCATAAATTCATCTAAATCCTAACATGCCTAGAACATATTCATAAAAATGGAATTTCTATTGTTGTCTCCCCTATCTAGATAAAAAGTAGCTATTAAAATGTTCACGGCACTTTGTAAAGTATACGATTTTCTAACAACTATGCTGTATACCCGAAACTAATACAAAATAATATTGAATGAAAATGTAATTTTAAAAACATTTTTAAAGTAAAGATAAACAAAATTAAATGTTCATGGGTTTTAAAGAAGGTTTTCAATCCTAAGAAGCAAAAGTTCCTACTCCACGTCCAGTTGGTGTGGCTGAATTGAGTGTTGACCTATGAACCAGGTCACAGTTCAATTCCTGGTGAAGGCACATGCCCAGGTTTCAAGCTCAATTCCCCATGTGGGGCGTGCAGGAGGCAGCTGATCAATAATTCTCTCTCATCACTGATGTTTCTATCTCTCTCTTCCTCTCCCTTCCTCTCTGAAGTCAATGAAAAAATAGGTAGAAAAGCTCCTACTCCACAATAAAATGTTTAAATCTGTTACTTGCCTGTGGGAAGTCATTGATCTCTAATTCTTCCTCATATCTCTTAAAAGATTCATTCTGTCCACCATCCTGTCTCTCTTCTTCTTGTTTCTCCAAAGGCACATAATTGAGCTTGGCATTGATCTTTTCAGCAAGTTGCTCTGCAATGGTTTTTGCAGACACAGTGGGAGCCAGAATGGTACCACCCCTGAGAATTGCATTGGTGGCCTGCTGCATCACATCCTGCAGTTAAAGAAGAACTACAGTCAAATCTCAATTGAGGGCAGAGACAAGATCAGGGACCCCACTAATTATTCTCCGTAAAGTCACTAATTAAAAGCATCTTTCTAATGCAGATTCCTACCATATGTGCAATTTAACACTACATATTTTTAACTGGTAGTTTGAAATATAGCCTTTACTTTGATGAGAAAATTAAAGAACACTCAACTCTATATTAAAAGTTCTACTGGCTCATAGCCCCGGCCAGTGTGGCTCAGTTGGTTGGAGAGTCATTCCATATACCAAAAAGGTGGTGGGTTCGAGTCCCAGTCAGGACATATACCCAAGTTACAGTTCAATCCCCAGCTGGGGTGCGTGTAGGAGGCAAACGATTTGATGTTTCTCTCTCTTCTCTCTCTCTCTTCCTCTAAAAATCATAAAAAATAATTTTAAAGGTACAAAATATTGCATTAATAAAAATAATAAAAAATAAAAAAGTTCTACTGGATTATAGATAATTAGGTAACTCTTGATATTAAACATAGTATATTCCTAAAATAATTTACATGCTTTGGGATTCCCAGGAATTTCCTCTGAATTAGAATCTTTGTGCCCTATTACCACTGAGTTCTTCTCTCATGGTCCAACCCAATATTCAATAAATGATAGTAAATTACTTACTCAACACCTTTTAGTTTTTTTAATTTGAACTTAATTTTACTATATGCTTAATCTGAACAGAACCCTTCCATGGGTAATACCTGACTCATACCTCAAAATTTTCGAACAGTGAAAAGTTACAACAATTTGATTTCTCTAATAAAGAGTTATTAGCAGTAATAATCCCAGAAAATTTAGGTACTGCCATCCCAGCTCTGAGGTGGCACAGGCTTGGGGGCAGTAAATACTTCATGATACCTCACTGGCTAAACAAAGACTCAGAGCCCAGAGGTTCCGAGCCTGGTTCCATCACTAACCTATGGCTTGGTCATCCCAGCTTAGGTGCTATAAACCTGAACCTATATAGCCTATTAGACAGAGGGCCTGCCCTGCAGATCCCCAAACTCTAAAAATCTTTAAAACACACCCAGTAAAAGCAAATCAGTAGAGAAAAAGAGAGTTATTTCTTTAATATTCTGGTAAGAGCAATTAGTAAAGTACTTTATAACATGCTCCAAGGCTAACATGCTTAACAGTTCAGCCTTCCAAAATAGGCATTAAAACCTCAGTTAGCCCAGCCAGCGTAGCTCAGTTGTTGAGCACTGACCTATGAACCAGGAGGTCACAGTTCAATTCAGGGCACATGCCTGGGTTGCAGGCTCAGTCTCCAGTGTGGGGTGTGCAAAAGGCAGCCAATCAATGATTCTCTCTCATCATAATTCCCAAAAAGCACTTAAATCAAAGAACTTATAGAAAGTTTTGACTAAAACTTGGAACAAATTACTTAATACCTGAGACTCAATGCCCAAATTCTTCTGAGCATTGATTCTAAGAGCCAATCTTTTAGCAATTTCTAATTTCTCAGCATTTCCAGCAGTTGGAACAGGAACACTAGATGTTCCAGGAGCAGCCATATCCTTCACTCTCTTCTTTGAATTAAACATGCTTTCAATTTGCTCATCAATCTAAACAAAATGAAAAAAAGGTCAGCAAAAGTTGAATTAAAAATACCAATGCAGGTGTATCTATAGAAACTAATAAAAATATTTCTACGAGAAGTCTAGAATCAGTTACATTTATGTTAATTCAACCACACAGATGAACAGGAAAATATACCAGCTATTGGTTAAGAGCGACACATTTCATTTTAAAAAATCAGTTTAGTGAAAAAATAGAAAACAGAGATACAATGCTACATAAACCATTATGCAGACTCTTGAGTGATCCAGACAATACTTCACAGTTCAGCAAATAAGGAATGTGTGTTGTCAAGACAGAGCAGCCAACATGATGCATCTAAAATGCCCTAGCACTCAGGCCTAGAGGCCAAATATACTGTATTGAAAGAGCCTGGAAGAAGGGCAATAACTTAGGGCCAACGGACAATTTAAAAAAGAGATAATGAGCCCTAGCTAGTTTGGCTCAGTGGATAAAGCGTCGGCCTGTGGACTGAAAGGTCCCAGGTTCGATTCCAGTCAAGGGCACATGCTGGGGTTGGGGGCTCGATCCCCAGTAAGGGACGTGTAGGAGGCAGCCAGTCAATGACTCTCAGGAACATCAGTGATTGAGAGGGTCAATGACTTTCTCATCACTGATGTTTCTATCTCTCTCTCCCTCTCCCTTCCTCTCTGAAATCAATAAAAATATATTAAAAAATAAAATAAAATATGAGAGTCAGTGATTCTCAGTGAGAATGATACAACCATGTTTCTAAGATAAAGCTCCAAAATTCTTCCAGACTCTTAAAATTCAACTGGATTTGCTTTTAAAACCAGGTAACAGAATCAGAAAAGAACACTGTACTACTATATTCCTTTGAGCTAAGAAAGAAAAGAAATGAAGGTAGGTTTCCCCATCAAAGCAAAAGCAATGCCGAAAGCCCTTGCTCTCCAGGAATCACACAATTCCTACGATGACTGTGCAATTCTCAGATTTGTCTCATCTACCTTATAAACTATTTGTAGTTCCTTTTAAAGATGCTTTTTGCCCCAAAATTATGATTAACACTGCCAACTAAAGAGATATAAACCCCTTCATATATTTAGATTAGGCCAACAAGGTCTTATCTTTTAAATATTAAATGAAGAGGAAATTTTGTTGAGGGTTTAAATTTAATTAGGTTAATTTAGAAAAACCTTCATTTAACAGTTTTATATTAAACAGCACATATAGCATTAAAATCCAAAACAAATGCATAAAATCAGAAATGGAGAATGTGTATGGTGCTAGCTGGTAGGGGTAACTTTACTTTTGACTTTATTCACTTCAATATTGTTCTCATTTTTTACCAAAAGTATTATTTTATTTCAACAATTAGAGAAACAATAAGAGATTTTTTTAAATGTTCAAAGTGACAATAAAAACAACACGGAGGTGTAAAAACAAGGCCACAAATTCTTTAATACTCGTCCCTTCAAGAGGTAGAACCTGTCCATGAGTATGGGCTGGACTGTGACTTGCTTTGTAGAAGTGCTAGTGTGTGACTCAGAGACTAGTCATAAGAGACACTAAGTCTTCCCCTTTGCTCTCTCTAGGATCACTTGCTCTGGGAAAAGGCCCTGCCATGCTGTGAGGACATGCCGGCAGAGCAGTAAAGAACGGAAGCATTCTGCCAACAGCAAAGTACGTGAGCCATCTTGGAAGAAGATGGCCCTGCGTCACTGCAACTGGGGACAACAACTTGACTGCAGTCGCGTATGATCCCTAGCCACAACTACCTGGCTAAACTGCTCCTCATTTCCTGAGAGAACTCTGAGATAATAAATGTTTATTCTTTTACCCTACTAAGTCTTGGATTGATTTGTTACAGCATTACGGGTAACTAAACACTGACTTAATTGCCTTGTAAGCCAATCTGGTATACTAGAAATAAATGGCCTGGGGTTAATAGGAAACCTGGGTTCTGGTCCTGGCTGTGGTTAACAGCCATTGTGGTCATGGACTAAATACTTTTCTGGGACACAAGTCCTTAAATGACAATAACAGATTGAATTCCTAATTTCCAAAATTGTGTTCTAAGCTAAGGTTTAATAGGGTGTGTAAGAAATGTTATATGATCAGAGATTGGAAATGTTGGAGAATTTCTGGGTTAAGCAAAATTAAACAAGGCTTCTTTAATTAAGGACTTATCACATCCTTTGATATATTAATGCCATTACTAGTGGCATATACTAGGCATATATCCCAAAATTCTTTTATAATGAAAACATCTTCTCAGATAACCCCTTCATTACTTTTATGAGTGAAACATAACAGTCTGAAAAACCAGTTTTTTTAAATAAATATTCTTCTAAAGCTCAAGCTCCTGAAGGGTTAGGGTTCCAAGAAATACTCCGTGAAACCTGCATCTTGTTAAGCCCTCAGGATCCCCCTTCACTGGATCACAAATAATTCCATACATTAAGGACATGGACTTTAAAGTAGAATGAAATAGATACAGGTCCCAACTCATTCATTCCCATAATAGCAATATAAATCTGAAAAGATTATTTGTTTAAGCCTGTCTCCTCTATTATAAAGTGAGAATACTTTTGAGTACTACTTCATGTGATTACTATAAAGAAGTAAACAAAATAATCCCTGTAAAGCACTTGGCACAGTGCATGGCACTTAGTAGCACTCAATAAATGTTGACTGTTATCATTAACTAGAGGCCTAGTGCACAAAATTCGTGCACTGGAGGGGGGGGGCGGTTCTCCTCAGCCCAGCCTGCACCCTCTCATAGTCCAGGAACTCCTCGGGGGATGTCGGAATGATGGCTTAGGCCCACTCCCCCTTGGACATCCTTAGCACTGCCACGGAGGTGGGAGAGGCTCCTGCCACCGCCACTGCGCTCACCAGCAGGGAGCCCGGCTTCTGGTTGAGCAGCTCTCCCCTGTGGGAGCACTCTGACCACCAAGGGGCAGCTTCTGCATTGAGCAGGATCGGGCCAAAACTGGCTCTCTAACATCCCCTGAGGGGTCCTGGGTTGCGAGAGGGCGTAGGCCAGGCAAAGGGACCCCACCAGTGCACGATCAAGGCCAGGGAGGTATGCGAGAGGTTGGCCAGCAGGGGAGGGACCACAGGAGGGCTTCAGGGTATGTCCAGCCTGTCTCGCTCAGTCCCCATCCGCCGGACCCCAGCAGAAAGCTAACCTACCAGTTGGAGCACCTGCCCCCTGGTTGTGAGTGCACGTCATAGTGAGTGGTTGAGCAGCCTTAGCATATCATTAGCATATTACACTTTTATTGGTTGAGTTCTATAACAAATTTTAAAAGATCAACATTAATACCAATATTGCTAAAGATATGGGGAGCTAGGAACTCTTGATAAACCACTAGAGTGAGTGAAAACTATACATTTACTTTGCTGTAATAACAATCTGACAATACTTTAAGAATAGCAATTCCTTTTATACACTCATCCTCCAGACCGAATCTCATGAATGTGCAAGTTAAATATGCAAGGATAAATATGCACTGAAGTATCCTATATAATAAAAGCCTAAAGTGCAAATTGTCTCCTTGGATAGCTGTTAGCCCGGGAGTTCAATCACTTGCTATGATGTGCACTGACCACCAGGGGCAGCGCGGAACATGGCAGACGGTGACCAGCAGCTGCGGTGGCATGGGGCAGGGCCGCTGCCTGGCTCCCAGGTGCTGAGGGAGCTGGGAGGAATGAGGGAGGCGGGACCCTGGTCCCGAATGATTGCCCACAGGCAGGATGGTGGAGCAGGTGAGGGGGCAGCGCAAGGACAAGGCAGAGTGCCAGGCGAGGTTGCGAGGCTGGGGGCGCAAGCTGGGGCTGTGAGCCTAGGGGTGTGAGCTGGGGCCCAATCTCCCCAGGCCACCCTGAGGGACCCCACCCATACACAAATTCGTGCACCAGGCCTCTAGTAGTATATAATGGTAGAGTACAGTATATTCCAAATAATAAATATATAGAAACAACCCATATATTTAAAATAAATGTTTGATTCATTGAATGGTAGAATATCCATACAATAGAGTATGATGTAGCCATCAAGAATAATGTAAAAGAGGTGGCTCGGTTGGAGCATCAACCCGTACACCAAAAAGGTTGTGGATTTGATTCCCAGTCAGGGCACATGCCTGGGCTGTGAGTTTGATCCCCAATACAGGGTGTGCAGGAGATGGCCAATCGATAGTTCTCTCTCATCATTGATGTTTCTATCTCTCTCTCCCTTCCTCTCTCTGAAATCAATAAAAACATATTTTAAAATATCAATAAAAATATATCCTCAGGTGAGCATTTAAAAAAAAATGATGTAACAGTGAATGTACTAAAATGGGAAGATTTCGATTAAGACTGTTACTGCAACAAAAGGTCTTAAAGCAGTATGATCTCATTTTTATGAAAATCATAAATACGAGCACATGTGAATATATGTACATACATAAGATAAGATTGGGAAGGATATAAACCAAGGTTTCCAGTAATTAGCTCTCTCAAGAAATATGAAAAGAAAAACTGTTTCAATGGGCACAAAAGGGACTTAGAACAACACTTACATCAACTGCAGCATCCTCATCATCTGAATCTTGGAGACCAAGAGCTGCTTTTTGTAACTTCTTTCTCTCATTAGCCAAAGCTTGTTCTGTTTCATCAAACTTGAATCCCTTACCAGAGAACCCACTACTCTTTTTAATTATTTTCCCTTCCTTTCAAGGAAAAAAAAAAAGTTAATTTCATAGTTAAAAATTTTAATGTTAAGAAATTTACAGCAATTTAATATCGTTTAAGGTGTAGTATACAATTAAACAAAAACACTTCATCTAGCATGTGAGAAAAAAATTAGATCTGTAGGTAAATGACTGAAAATACTAAATTTGATCAAAAGGATTTTACTTTCACTCTTTTTCCCCCCTCCCTAGAGATAAATAAAAGTAATCCTGGGGGTTAACCAAAGAATTTATATGCATATATGCATAACCCATGGACATAGACAACCAGTGTGGTGAAGGCCTAGAGTGGGGGAGGGACAGTTCAGAAAGGGTTGTCAATGGGAGGAAAAAGGGTATATCTGTCTTACTTTTAACAATGAAGACAAAAGAAAATAATCCTTTCAAGATTTAAAAGTCCTATATTAAATATTCAAATTTTAGAACACAATGATTTACATAAAAATGGGAGTTAAAAAAACTCACAGCTTTCTGTTGATCTTTGAAATCACTCCACAGTTTCTCTAGATCAGGAGGTACTGCAGTCCCAGACAATTCAAGAGCTTTAATGATGTCACCAGCATAGCGAGCTTGATCTTCTGTGATAAAAGTATATGCGTAACCCTAATGCATAGTAAAAAGTAAAACTATTAGATACTAACAAGACGAATCCTATTTAGATCACAAGATAAAATTTAAATCACCCAATAAATCCACTTAAGACTCCATCACTAAAGTTTTAAGACCATTAAAAAAGTACTACTAAATTATCTAATGGTTGAAAGTGAAATATCTAAGCTTAATATTCAAAAATGAAGAGCAAAACCAGGCTCAATCCCTGGCTCGGCTGCAGTCACAGGAGGCAACCAATCAATGTATCTCTTACATGGATGTTTCACTGTTTCTCCCCTGCCCTTCCACTCTCTAAAAATCAATGGAAAAATATTCTTGGGTGAGGACAAAATAAATAAACATCAATGATGAGAGATAATCACTGATCAGCTGCTTCCTACATATACCCTACTGGGTATCAAGCCTCCAACCTAGGCATGTGTCCTGACCAAGAATCAAACCATGAACTCCTAGTTCACAGGTCAGTGCTCAACCACTGAGCCACACCAGGTAAGCTACAATTTTATTTTTTCAAGTTTAAAACATTTTAATACAATTCAAATAAGTATGTCTGGTTCATTTCGGTTCCTTATCCACCCAAAGTAGGGTGCATCAATTTCTCTGACTTCTCTTTATCTGTGATGACCAAGGTATAAAGGTATCTGCTGCATCAAACTTTAAACTTCACATTACCCTCATTTTTCTTGATCTTGACAGACTCGGCATCCTTTTACCTGGCTGTAAGCACAAAGTCCTTCTTTAATTTTATAGGGCATGACTACGAAGCATGGGAGAGTGCATGGCCAGCACCCTGAAATACCCCATCCCCCACATACTGCCCTCAAGAATATCAGAAGAGCCCTAACCAGTTTGGCTTAGTGGATAGAGCGTCGGCTTGCAGACTCAAGAGTCCCAGGTTCGATATCAGTCAAGGGCATGTACCTTGTTTGCGGGCACATCCCTGGTAGGAGGTATGCAGGAGGCAGCTGATAGATGTTTCTCTCTCATCAATGTTTCTAACTCTCTATCCCTCTCCCTTCCTCTCTGTAAAAAATCAATAAAATATATTTTAAAAAAAGAATGTCAAAAGACACAAAAGGCTACAATATTTACTACCTGGCCCTTTATATAAACGGTTTCCCAAATCCACCGAATAACTCAGGTTCAAAGAATAAATGCCATCAATTAGCTGTGTACCTTGGACAAGTAACTTAATTTCTATGTGCCTCAACTTTTCTCATCTATTAAATAGGATAGTATTATCCACCTCAAAGGCAAGTTGTGATGACAAAATCACAAATGTAAAGCATTTCTGTGCCTGGTACTTAATCAGTACTCCATATATATAACCTATTACTATTAATGTTATTATTGCTTGAGTATGCAGAAATGACTAGGGTTGGAATATCAACCATATCATCATCAATGTTTCCAACAGCAAAATATTCTGCTCCTTCAAAAAGAATGAATTAAACAACAAACAAGCAAACAAACAAAAAAGAAAGAAAAACTAACAAGCAAAAATAATGAAGTAGACCTATATACTTACTGGAATACCTGAGTCAAAAAAGCAAGTGATATGTATGTGCACTGGTGGAAGGGACGACAGGGGTGATAGGTATGGATTTGAGTATATTTTAAGATCCCATATATTTTTTAAAAACCAATGAAAGATTCTAAACTATATGCATGGTTGTACATAGAAACTTTAGGCAGGTAAAAAATCCTAAAAGGGGATACAAATGGTTAACACCATCTAACTAGAGAATAGCTTGGTATCTGGTAATTTTCAAAATATGTAGACATGTGTAATTTTAACAATACTTAGACATACATATGCATATGTGATGAACACCTCAACTATTCCTCACACTTTGATGATTAAGGACTCCCCCCACCCCTTTTTTAATTAAAAAAAAAGTTTCAGTTGATTTTTAGACAGAGAGGAAGGGAGAGGGAGAGAGAGGGAGAAACATCAACGTTAGAGTGGAATATCGACCACCAGGGATCAAGCCGGAAACCCAGGCATGTGCCCTGATGGAACTGAACCGGAAACAGACATGCCCAACCCAGCCACACTGGCCAGGCTGATTGAGGATTTTTAAATGTTCCCATAACTCCGATTACTTACTCCTTAAAACAGTAAAGAAACACTTAGATTTTAATATAACAAAAACCAATTTAAAATTTTTTTTTACTTTGTTGCCTGCTCTTCCAGTTCGTCCTGCTCTGTGTACATAATCTTCATAATGGTTGGGGCAGCTGTAATTTACTACGAGAATCAGATGTTTCACATCCAAACCTCGGGCAGCAACAGAGGTGGCCACAAGAAGTTTGCAGGTCCCATTCTTAAAGTCATTTATGATGCTATCTCTGTCATACTGATCAATACCTGCAAGTAAATGACACATAAGAATTGTAAAATCTCATGTTCAAATTAAACTTTCCACTTCCTCTGACACTCAGAGAAAGAAGTTAAACACAGAGTAAAGAACAAATACAACTTATATTGACCACACTTCCAACAACTACAATATACAAAATAAAACACTAAGAAAATTTCATTGCAAGATCAAAGGCTACTGCTATTAACTCATTTATGAATCCTCCAAATCTACCCTTGCCTGCCCCCTTTCTTATCTAGAAGGCTTATAACTGCAGCAGCCTAATCTCAGAATCACTGGCCTAAACTTTATTGGGGAGCAACAGAAGGCATGCACATTCAGCCTAGATTGACAGGATTCAGATCTTTCTCCTGTTGGGTTTATAGTCATGCTACTCAGTTTTATCCAAGGACCAGAAGCAGCATCACATGAAAGCTTGTTAGAAATTCGGAATCTCAGACACTACCCCAAATTACTGAATCAGATTTTGCATTTTAACAAAATATTTGGGTGATTACACATGCACATTAAAGTTTGAGGTACACTAGTAGAACCTACCTAATAGGATCTCTTAAATGTTATCCAAAGAGCCTCAGATTGAGAAACAAAGCAGAGTATAAAATGCCAAAATGTTCTATTACAAGATGCCCAGTCCACATATCTATTTGATGACAGATCCCTGGCATCTCTAATTAGAGAGGAGAATGGAAAAAATTCTGAAACCTTGAAATTAATTTTTGCAGCAGGAGATAATTTTTTTAATTTATTGATTTATTTTAGAGAGAGAAGAAGGGAAATA